TCAGCAAATGTATATTCTCGAACTCATTAACCGAGAGCCCTTACATTATACTTATGATTGCAGATTTTATACCAAACGTTTTGCGTGTATAGTAAATTTTATCATTGAAAGATATTTCGCAGGGTCAACGATATTTAACTCTTAAAAAACCTTGAAAGGCCAAATTGTCATGAAATATTAAAACTAAAGAAAATTTTCAGATCGAGTAAGAGCAAGAATTTACAAAAAAAAGTATTCACAAAAAAAAAATTAATTAAAAAGTACAAGATAATTTTTTAAATAATTGGTGATGATTAATAACCAAGTTTTTTTCCTTCTTCTTTATTGTCATCATTAAACTTTAATAATATTTAATTATATTGCAGTACTACTATAACATAATCTATTAATGCATTACATAAAAATCAATTAACATATTAAAGTGACTATATTTTTCTTGACTTGGTAATGATATACAAAAAGTTAAATCTAAAAATAACATGTTTTTTAAACATGTTTTTAGAATGTAGTTCAGGATGTCCTATTGTAAACATTGACATTGTCCATGACGTTCGACCTATCGATATTCACTTCTTTAACGTGATATTCCACAGGAAAATCAAAATATCAAGAAATAAACATATTACTGAAATCATGCACGTCCACAAATTCTGATGCACAATGCGGCATCCGCACTTGCTAATCGATACTCTATGGCCGAGTAGTCGTTGAGGGTGGCGTGACGTCAGAGCTAGAGTGAAGGTTAAATGTCCTATTTAATAATATACAAAGGGCAAATATGCAAGTCGTTAACCACGATACTTCCTGTCCAGTTAAAAAATATCACCGTCCTCGTTAGCTCGACGTAATGGAAATACGAAATTCAACTCACTATAAAATTATATAACCTCGAGATTAAATATGTCATAACACGGATTCTTGGTCCTGAAAAATGTAGGTCACTGAGAGATGTAGACAAACTTGAACGGATTCATTTCGATTGAAAATTTCGAAATTTTTATCAGCACGCGCGATTAAAATTATTTCAAATGAAATCTAATTTTTTTCTTTTCTGTGGAAATATATGTACATATTTCCATTAATTCTTCGATTAATGAGTAACGCGTTGAAGAAGTGGAAAATTTCATATCGATAAAAGAGGTGACATAATTCGTGTAGGTGATTCTGTTTATTTTCAATCAGCAATTTCGATATCTTTGTAATTTTCCGAGTAGGATTTTTGAATAATTTTTATGTCCTTATGAGACATTTTTTCCTTCCATTTTTTCCTTTGTTCTTTTTTCTGGTATTAGCTGTCGGGAAAATATGTAAGATTTCTATGTCCGACATTGCTTTCACAGAAAGTAGACTTTCATTGGATGCCAAGAATTAACAAGTTATGATCGTGGATATACAGGATTCGTGATATCGATATTAACCCAAATTTCGTTTAATTAGTTAATGATAAGAATTAGGAAAGAAATGATGGAAATTATTTACGTTTTGAAAAAGGAGAAACATATATTGTACATTTTAATTCGAAATTTTATCTTCAAAAAATTGAATTATTTCCCTTGTTACACGCTCTTACTCGTATTGTCTGACCAGAATTAACTGGTTTATACTAATAAATTAAAAATCTTCGGAATTGCAAACTTATGAAAGTATAATAACTGATCGTCATATTTACTCATGCTCGATTGTTACGTTATTCGTGTTACTCGTTCAAACGTCGATGTAACAACTGTTAATTGAAGCATCGAGGTGCAGATCTTTTTAAACCCAAGGTTTACCTGATGAATATTTTACGAATGCTAACGATATATGATATTTTGTCACGGTCGCGTAAAATTTGGTATTTTTTCACGATTACGTAATATTTTTACTTTTTTTCAGATTTGTAAAAAATCTGAAACACGTTAAACGGTTACTGACGTTTCATCGTTATACCGGATATATAAATATTGACCATACTTCAAAAATCGAACATATGATTCATGTACACAATTATGGTTTTTTCGAAATAATCGTGATCGTAGAACGTTTTTATTTAATTTTTTTTAAAAAGAGGCTTAAGATACTTCAAACGTAAAATGACGTTTCTGACACGTTATCTGTTTCTTATATTAAAAGTATAGTGAGATATCAGAGTCGTCATTTGACGTTGAAGTCAAGTGTCATGATTTAAAAACATTTCAATTTTAAGTTGATATAAATTGTTTTCTCTCTTTATCTACTACGTATATGAAGATTCGAATGAAATTAATTAGTATTTGCATAGAAAATTCTTCCTTTGTGAGGAATAATAATCCTTAATTATTTTAATATCGTTGAAAAATATATAATTGTATACACCAAACCATATTTTCTTTTTTTGATAGTCCTGAAAATAAAGACTTGCTTATTATTGAAATTTCATATAAGTACAATATAGTAAATTCGTGCTAAAAGAAATATTAAATTTCCATAATACAGAAATTCGTATTTAATAACAATGAGTACAGTGGTAACGAGTAAATATCGATTGAGTCAAACGTTTATCGGTTACGATCATTACACGTATGACATGTCCATTCAGCAGTGAGTTTGCGCATTTCTCTACTCCCATTTTGTTCCCTTATGTAAATATTGGTACTGCGCAGGACAGAAAAGCCCGAGTGAAAGTAGTGGAAAAATACTGGGATTCCCTGCAGGGTGTCATAAACTTACTATACAGTTAAGGGTTCCGAAGGGTACCCTAGTAATATTTATTTATTTACTTATTCGTTAACATGTATTATCGATATTATAATACAATTTTGTTATAATATAACAATATAATGTTATAATATAATAATATAATATTGCAGATTATAATTTCAAGGATGCTCTTACAATTTGAAGGGTTCTTTTGGGACAGACACTAACATCTGGAATTTTCCATGATGCATGGTCCCAAATCTTTTCAAACCCTTATCGAAGGGTCTTGGAATCTCCACCAGTCTGTTATTTCCTATACCTGGACATTTTTGAACGAATTTTCGAATTCATATTATTCTATGTACACTACACAAAAGTCCAAATTTTATCGTTATGCATAATTAAATGGAATGGAGATCATTAGACAAACATACGGATAAGAGATTGACAAGATATTGATTAATTGTACTCTAAACAATGGATAATGAATATAAACGATTGTTTAAGATACGTTAATCTTCACTTTTAACACGTTCATTACCAAATTTTCAGTTCGACAAAAAAACAGTTGCCACGTGTCTCGAAATCTTTCCATCGAAACCGAAACCCTGCTGACGAACATCTATAATCAAACTTCTACTATCAATTAAAAACGAATAAACAGCGATTTCTTGCTGTATATTCAAATCTGACTACGATTTAACGAAACTAAATATCATTCGTGACCTTTTTCGCATAGGAAAGAATGACGAATAATTACGTTACCAAAACATCAGTCGATATGCATTATGTGAGGTCGAACTCGAAAACTGCACGTAGACTGCTTGCGCTTTACAAAGCAAGACATCGATTATCATAACTTTGGGATGTAAATCCCTCGGTCGATAAATCACACGCAACGAGGTTCTCAGAATTATTAAGAATTTAAACCGTTTTTTGAAAACGTCATAGCGAACACGCGTTTCTACATCATCTCCGTTTAGTAAACAGAAAATCATGCGACGAAGAATCGGCCAGCGATAACCTGGAACACGCTTGAGGAGCTGGCATGCAACGGGGAACGAGGAGCAGGGGGCTCGGACGAGCACGTGCTCACCGAGTGATAGAAGTTTTTTTCTTCGACTGAATAAGGTGACCCTATCCTGATAGTGGGGCCCCGCGAACGAACGAGCGAGCGAGTGCACGAGCAATCGCGTAAAATGCGAAGACTCACTGGCGCTAGCGAAACGAGGACAGAAAATTCGTTCTGCAACGTAAAATAGCGTGAGTGAGAAAGAGAGAAGGAGATCCAAAGATCGCGCATTGAACGAAGACGGAGATAAGTAACGCGCTGGCAGATGGAGAGCGCAGGTGCAAGAGTAGTGGGGGGAGTTGCCTTGGCACCATGTGTAAGAGAGAGGTGGAAATATATGAATCAATGAGTGCGAGAAAGGGAGATTATATGGGAACATGGAACGTTGTATGGGAAGAGATAGAGGGGCACAAGGAGAGAGAGAGAGAGAGAGAGAAAGACTGAGTGGGTTTAACAAAAGAAGAAGAGAGATGCACTATGGGTATCGTCGACATATAGACGGGCTATGCGAACGTTGGCATAAGTTGAAGGAAGATAGCATAGGTACAATACCTCTGTCTAGAAAAAAGGAGCATATGACTGAGAAAGAAGTATAGTATGAGAGTACAACATGCCGGTGAAGGTGAGAGTAAGACAGCCTAAGTGCCCGGTAGAATGGAAAAAGCAAAAAAGATTACAAGATGGGGTGAACGCAAGAGAAGGACAGTACGAATGTTTTGTAAAGCTGTATACACAGTTTTACGCAACATGCGAAGAAATGTTACATTGTTACGCGTACGCATCGAATGATATATCGTTTTCTATTATAATCTGTGGTACCGTATCACGTGAAAAAATTTATCAAACCTACGCCACAAATTTATATCGTACAATTTATTTCCCGGTGTGGATATGGCTTAATGTACATGCGTGGATTGGACGTGCAAGCAAGAGGGAAATATAGATGAGCGAAAGAGACGGAAACAGTCCAAGCGTGTGGCAAAGGTATAGAACATTCCATAAAGAAAGAAAGAACTCCCACAAACGCATAAATATCGCATGTATATGGAACATTCCAGCAAGCTATATAGGTTTTGAAACGAAAAATCTTTAAAAGAGCTCTGTATAACGTTGTAAGAACGTATGAAACGTTCCAAAGAGGCAAAAGGATCGCGTCGAGCGTGAACGACAAAGACAGAGCACTGCGCGTGTGTTGGAGTGTAAGCGAGTAAACGAGCGCAAGAGAGGGGGGCGCGCAGAAAAGAAAGAGACGATAAAGAGAGTTCTGCAGTCTGTAGCACGGAGCTCGCGTTCAGTTGTCTTCGCTAACTTGAACACGCTCTTCGGCTTATCTGCAGCAGTCAGTTTTCGTGAACGCAACATAGCCGGGAATACTCTTTTCACTTGTGCGAATTGCCCGAGGTGAATGTACCTGTACAAGCAACTTTTAACGAGTATCTGTTTCGAGTAGGGAGATTATAGACGAAGTCATTCAAATTTAATCGAACTTCTACACGTTCGAATTTGATCAGAAGTACAATCTTCTGAATTCGCCGGGTAATCCACAAGATTTGAGTTCGCGTTGAGATTAGCAAATAGTCGCGGTGGATGTGTCGGTAAATACGGGAATATCGTTTCCGTCGTGAACACAGCTGTTCCGCTTTTGCGAGCTAAGAATGTTTCTCGTTGCGCCGGTTGACAACAACCGCTGGGCCTACACGATGCATGGATTGGAGAAGCCTATGGATCACGTGTCCGGTAATGTCATGTTAGCTATTCTTTCCACATTAAACGAATCACGAATTGTATTTATTTGATATATATGTATGATGTACCACACGTGGGGAATTTTTATGATTTTGTTTGATCTTTTATCATAATACTGAATAAAAATTGTAAATAAGATTTTGGCTATGTACTATGATTGTTTCAGACAGACATTGTAATCTTTTGCAATACATACAATTCTCTGCTAAAAAGTAGGAGGTAACCACGTTTTTGGAAGATAAAATCTGGAAGAAAATTCTAGATACTTGGTTATTCGACTCCTTATTTTATAGGTTATAGAGATATTCAGCTCCGTTTCTTCAGATAGTCTGAACAATTGTTATCTCCATGCCATAGTGTATTTTGTTTAAAAAAATGTTCTTTTTAATTAATGAAGTTTTTGCAAATTTTTTCATATAATTAAATTTCTATGAAAATACAATATGGATACTATCTTGATCATATGACTGAGCTGTGTGAAAGTTGGGAAATGGAGACTGTTCTTGATATTTAATATACTGCGAGTTTCATATCTTATATCGATTTTTTTAATGACTTTTATGCCTAAACTAGTACTACTTAGGTATTTTCTTATGCAGTATCCTATTACTGTTATGAAATATAGAATGTAGTTGCTTATTTCCCAGGGTATTGCCCTCGTTCACTTTATATTATACTGATGCGATACGATATATCATGTTAATATATTAACATAAATTTAATAACCACTGTCGTCGTATCACTAAACGCAAATCAAAATATCAAATCGACCATTGGGGTAATTTAGAACCAGTTTTGACTCGATTATTACTTAACCTTTTTGAACTATAGTGTAGTATCACATAAATGAATTACTAAATAATATTATAAACGTAGTATTATAAAATCAATAAGTATAATTTATCAATTGTACATTAACGATATATATTGATGGGTACATTAACATATATTTTAGTTATACAGTGATATTAGACTATAGTTGCAAATGAAAAATTAACACCAATTTATTTCACGTATATTTTACGTATCAAAATAAATAAAAAAAAAACACGTTAAATGAAAATGAACAGCAATATTGACTGTTCGTATCAGAAATGTTATCTAGGTCAGGGTATGAATTTTTAAAGCACTCAATCGCTTATCAACATTATGGTTATAGCATTTTAACTAAACGCGAAATATGACGTAGAAGATGTTTTTGCATTTTTTACGATTCAGTCGCAGGAAGATATTAAAATGAATAAAATCATGGCAATGATAATGAAATATATTAACAAAGCATGTATATATGCGAGAAAATAATACAAGATATGAACGAACTATGCTAAGTGTAACCTTAACAAAAATTCGTTGTAAATATCTGTGATAGCCATTCTGTATTAATGAATGACAAAAGAAGTTCAATGCCGCAGATAAATGTAATGTAAAGAATATTTTGGCAGTAAATTTGAATTTTTGCAACGTTACTTGGCTGCAGCTGTCGTGTTTTCTATGTTAGGTAACTACTATCATGCATTATTTCAATATCAATGGGAATTCTTCCATTGTCTCTTCATTCTTAAATGATTTAAAAAAATTTGAATATTTATCATTCATGTGTTCATTTCCAATTTTTGAATTTTTATTTTACTAGAAAATGGAGACTTGTTTACAGAAATCAGGCGAGGTCGCAATTTGTTTTCGACGAGCCTGGAATACTTAAGTTTTAAATGAATGAATCGTCGTTATGCAATATGTGCAATATGCATTGTATACAAGCAGTACGATGTATATTTCACAATTGTGTCTTATCGTTTCAAAAATTTCTGAGTTCCACCTGTGTTCCCAATACCAAAGGACTGTAACTTACAATATCGATAATTTATATGAATTTATATTTTAAATTAAATCTAATTTAACTCCAGGAAGTAATAGATAAAGTATGCCACTTCTAATAAACAATTATAATTAAAATTATTTCATAAACTAGAGTTTCATATACTATATACTAGTAGAGTTGATACATTTAAAATGACTCTTACGTTATACAAATTTCTTAAACGCTTAATAATAGTAATTGAGAACAATGAAAATGTAAAAAATTCACTATGGACTTTTCGAGTAATTTGAGACGATTTTCATTACATTTAATAGACAAATCGTCGAGCATCGTATATTCCTCCTTAAGGCAATTATATGATTGAGAACTTACGTGATGGGAATAGATGCAGTATATTTGATATATTAAATCCTCGAGATATTTCATCCGTATTTTTCTCACGTAATTTTCACGAGTTCTATTTTCATAGGACGAAGACATAGGCATAAGTTTGATATTCGACATTAGCATCAGATTGAGTTCAATTGAAGACCACAGATGGAAATTAAAGTCGCTAAGAAATATTTATAGCTTGCTATATTTATTGACTTGCTGTTGGACGCGAAATTAAATTCACTATATCATTTGCATACAAGAAAAACATGTGCCAAGCGACGCTCAATATGTGCCTGAAACCAATTTAGATTATAAGTTTGAAAACAGAGATGATATAACCCGTTGAAAAATATTAATAGCCTATTTTATCCGGTATCAATTGATATGCAATTGCAGCCCAGGAATCAATTTAAATTATTAAATGAAAGAAATAGTAATGATACGTAACAGGTTTTAAATTGTTGAGAAGAAAAATAAAAATATATTTTCTTTGGCAATTTTTAAAAATATAGAAATAAAATTAATTTTTAGTAATGCATTTTTTGAATTATATACCATAAGTTTGCTGATCTAAATATATTTTTCCATGCCCACAATTATATTTAGCTATTTTACATATTTTATACTTGTATTCTCCAATTGATTATGTACAGATGAGGTTATGGTTCTTTTATTATGGTTTGCAAGAAATTAAACTTTTTGGTCAATTTCTTCACATCAGTAACAAATAGTAAATACAGAGAAAACGACGATATTTCAAACGACTACTAAGTCATCTTATATCCATTTCTCAATTCACGAATATAAATAATATATTTACACTTATCGAGATATCGGATTATATGAAGTTATTAAAATTACTAATACATAAACGCTATACCAAAGATCATGAACGCTCATAACCTAGAATATTTATATTCTCCTATCCGTATTCGAATGTTGACCGTGAATTACGAAACGTTCATACCTGAGATCCTTGAAAGTGCAAGGACCTATTTCACAAATGTATTTCACTGTCGAGTAGACTCTTCCGTAAATATAACCAAATTAAAACGAGCAGTCGAATGCTCGTTGTATTGCTGTAAGCAACCATCAAACGCATTGAATTTGTCTCACTGACTATGTTACGGATATTACCATCGAGCAACCGCTGTAACGCGAGCTACCGTGACGTAATGGGAATCAACTTTGACAGAGAACAGGCATGGAAATTGCTCTGATGCACAAACGCGTTTGCCATCCGTGCGGTAAATATCTCGCGAGGACGCCCGCAGAGGTCAGGGCAGTCGCGGGGTGGAACGAAAGGGCGATACCTGGTAGGCCTACTTGGTATAGCGTCTGTCTCGTGGTAGTGTCTCGTGAATCGACACACGAGAGTGTCTCGATTCCAAACAGACATTACTGACTATTTCCGTTCACGCGAAGGCGTCTCGCGATTTGGGTGTGAAACAAGGAATGAATCATCCTCGACTGTGGCTAAATTTACACGCGAATCTCGCTGTATCGTGGCCTCAAAGAAAATATATACCTACTTATGTTTATAGAGTAAGATAGGAAAGGAAGGGAAAAATTTTTTCCCATGGGAATGTTTCCATTTACATATATTGATCCGAAGCTGGATACTCGTATTTCTGAGCAACGTTTGGAAACGTTTACGTTCCAACGTGCAACATTCGTCGAAAATCTCCAACACACGAATATTTCTGATCGGAGATATATTTGTGAACATTTATCGTTAACCCAGTTCACGTGAAATTGTAAACGAATAGTAAATCTTAGGTACAAAATCAATTTTTATAAAATAACCTTGTAATATAGGTTATGTAAATATTTATATGCAATTTATATGTTCTTTAAAGAAAGTACGTATAAATATTATTTTATTCGAGTTTAATTCTAATTGGAATATATTGACGTAGGTCATTGTCATACGAGTATGCAATTTATGTTGAATTATGTTTCAGATTTATTTCTGACAAGGATGCGCTGTATTTTGACTATAAAGTAAAACGAATTTATGGTAGTTACGAATATTATAAATTACTCTAGCAATCTGTAAATATTTCGAATTTGTACTATGTTGCCTACGTTCTATTTAAAGAGTGGAAGCAAAGTGAAATCTAAATATTGACGTGGATTTATAAAATTCCCGCTTAAACAAGTGAAAGCAGATAACCTAAAAATGTATGTTTAACATCACGGTTATTTTAATGGGAAATATTTTTTTAAGGGTGAAACGAAAACTACCAACTGTGTCATTAATATAGCGAAATACTAAATTTACGTTTCTTATAATACCATTTCAGTGAAAGATGAGCTTTCTCAAAGGAAAGTGAGGTATAGCAGTTGAATCACTGCCAGTTACTCCTACACGATCAAATTTACATCAAAGCATCGTAACAATTCTATTCTGTAGAATCGAGTGGTATTTTGAGAACGAAATAACAAAATCGACTTATTCATAACTATAAAAATTTTATATTTATTTTTCCTTTCCACGCAAGCTTTCTTTTTTATTTATCAATTGCTTATTTAGAATTGAACCAATTTTATTAATTTTCATTATAATATAAAATCGAATTTTTTTCATTGAAAATGGTATATGATAATCAATTAATTGGTTCTTAGGATATAAAATACATATATTATTTTCTTCATAAAATTAAATAATTAAAACAAAGAAAGAAAAAGAAAAGGCAGATAATTTTTTTAAATAAAAAATTACCAATTGTTTGGAATTGTATAAACATTTCTCTGTCTCGTATGTCTTAAGTACTAAAAGTATATCGAACAAACTTTCCATCAGTGACTGTTATTCATTATTGATTACATGCTGACCAATTCATATATATATCTAATACAGTTATCGTATCTTGCACTAATTGTAAATAGTATTTTATGACGGTAAATTCCATTCCAGTACAATCGATATCTCGATGATATCAATCATGATGCCACTAAGCTAGAAATCTATCATAAATTACAAATATCAATGTGTCATTAAACACACATTACGAACATTATTCCCATTGTCTATTTTTACTCTTTTTAAACCTATCTAATAATTTCTTTTTTAAATTTCAATGTTGACTAAGCACATATAAGAGTATGTTCTTCCAATTTGATAACAAACTGATTCAACATCAAAATATTTATTTTACGGGCGTTAAGTATGAAACCTGATAGTCAAAAGAGTTATGCAATGTGTCGAAGTTATCCTGTGACATAGTTTTTGCTTTTTAAACAATTTCAAAAACAAAATTTATCGCAACACTTGCGTTGGATATTTAAGTTAGGGGAAGAGATTTGGACTTTCGTCTATCGTAAAATCTTATTTCTCTTTCTCCAAGGTCGGCATACAATTGTAAAACCTAACGTCTGATGATTATTTATCATTCCTAAATCGTCGAATAAAAATATGGAATACCATTAAGATACTTTATTAGCGAATGCAGAAGAATTGTTATTTCATCTTCATACGAAAATCCCTTGCTTCAGACACTGGCGTAACATGGATTCTAATCTCAAAATTTAGTCTTACGTTGAACGAAAATCAGATATCTGTTAATCTTAAGTAAGGAAATAGTAATTTTTCATAAAAGATTTTAAACTTATATAAATTATTTCCTTTACTTCAGCTAATGTCCTTGTAAAATGTCCCAGTGCATCATACACATTTCCAATAAAATATATTCTCATGCATAATTCAGGTTGCAAGTTCACCAGGTTGAATTTCTTTGTTGTTTACTTCCAGACATATTCGTTTCATAAATTATTCATCTGCAGTGAATTATTAAAATAAAATTCAATGAAACCTCCTATCAGTCACTTGCGTTTTGTCATCGATGAAGTTCACACGGTTTTTAGAACATGATGTAACATAACATACATCTCCAATTTTTCATAAATATTTCAAATGCACACCAGACACGAATAAATTATCCAATCACTTAAGGTACGCTACAGGTCAAATGTTTGAGGTCACTAAGTATACTATACGGTTCAAAAATTTCGAGGGAAGCCATCCTGGGATCCTGTTGCTTTAGAAAACTCTCTAATTAAAAATCTATCAGGGTTAAAGAAATATTTATTGTCATTTATGCAGTATTAATTTCTAATTAATAAAATTTGTAGAAGATTCGTGTAGATACAAATGGAAAAGTGAATAATGTACATACGTGGCGTTAGGTTATCATATGAAGAAAATAATCATTGTTTCGAAGCCTCTTCTGTGCACGTTATGTTAATCACGTACTAATTCGACCATGAACCCTTGATCAGAGGCATTACCTACACCATTGCTATCAGCAGTTACAATATAATTATCATCCAAAACTTATCACCCCAAAATGTTTAAATCAACAGTGCTCAGTTTATATATTGGATTATTACACTATTGCCTTGGTCAGCCATCGAGCCATCTATTCACAAAAATGATCAATCTTCAGCTATTAGATCGTAATAAAAGACTATAGGCTATAGATAAATTAAAATCTTTTGCTTTACGAATAAACAGAATTTACTTTGCTACCGTAGTTGCAATTTGCAAGAATAATTGCACTACTATACAATACTTAATACAGCCTTAGTCATCGGTTCCTAGATCTGGAAGCTACAATCAATTGGTATCTCGTTTCTTATGAATGAACTGAATTTATATTTTGCTATAGTGTTACATTACTGTACCATAATCTTGATCAATCATCAGCTCTTAGATTACAATGAAAACTATCCTCAATTGGTGGTATCTCTTGTCCTATGACCAACTAGAATGCACTCTGCTATAGTATTCCATTAGTACACCGTATAGACTCAGTCAATCTGTTTACAAGAATCGTCGATACCTAATTTTTTAAACAACATACCAGTGTATCTAATGAAGGTGAATTTATTCTCTCACGAGTAAACGAAGTTCTAGTTACATATCTAGTTACATGGGGTTAACGAAGTCGTCGCCAGTGGCGGCGCTGACGTCGGTTAACCAGCGAATTAAAGTCAAGGAGGTGTCAAGAGCACGAAAATCGTAAACAAGAATCGAACGACGTAGCATTGGCAATCACGTGGAACGAAACATGTAACAAGCGGAAAAATAAACTCGGTTATCTGACGATCCTCGAATAAAACACGTTGCTGACACCGGGAGCACTGATAAGCGCGGTAGCCTCAGGCGTCAGCTCTGTTTATGGATATTTTTCACGATGGTATATATAGAAAAGAAAACTCGTTCTTCTTTGCTACCACTTCCGCAAAAGTAAGCCGTCTAGACATCGATCTATCGATGCTATGCGATTGCTAAAAGGTAAACAGAACTGTTTGACAGAGATATATCGCTATGCTCGGTATTTTCTTAAAGCACTGCAGACCAGACATTTTATTCTTGATAATATCCAGTACTCGGGTATTCCGTAACAGAAACGAGTTTCTAGAAACATCTCAGAGATGAAGAAAATGTCGAGTTTCCGGAATTCGAAACTTTCCACTTCAAAATTCTCGAAATTCTTTTTGAGAAAAGATGTGGACTTAAGAATTGGTAAATTGGCGAATAAAGAAAAGATTATTGCATCCTGTCTTATAATCGGCAACACAAGAAAAGGTTTTGTGTTCTATTTTACTGTGGTGAATATAGATTTATAGCAATTTTATTCCATATATATGCAAAAGTATGAAATATATAGACACGTATGCAAAATAAAGTCAACCTTTGATAATTTTGAAAATTATAATTAATTTTGAGGAAACTAATTCCACGTTAGCCTCACTATACAGATGCGCGATATCTCGCGAATGACCTCTAACGGCGCAATTCGAAACGCGAGTGTTAGGTTATGGAAAGTTACTAGAAGTTACCAGAAAGTCTGAGTAACCTGTTAAGCGGCTTTTTCCGTAAGTGGACATTGTGGAGGAGTTAGAGAAATGTTTCGACGGATTTAATGAATTTAAACGAGAAGCCTTAGGTCTTAGGAAACCTACAAGTTACGAAGTAACCATTTCAGTTCTGTCTGTGACAAAGTTCAATACTGAAGTTCCTTGAACCACTTGACGCTTGGAAGGTATGCTTCCAGCTCTGTATTTCGAAAACTGTCAATAAATATCTAGTGTTTGGCAACATTAGGAGCTTTCGTAACCTGTGGGAGAATTTCTGACATACTTTTAGTGGTATTGTTTGTGATAGTTTAATATTACTTTAACTGTGAAATGGAATGATTCTCAATCGAATACTCTGATAAGTGTTCAGTTTCCTGGATTCAAGGAAGTTTGGTACTCGGGTAAGCAGGAAGTGCTTTGGGAATTGATAACACCTTCTGTTTATATCTGTATGTATCATAGTGACTGTAGTGATGATAACGTGACTAGTATTCGCTTTTTGAAACACTCGATTCTTTTTCAAACTTTTACAAACTATTTATACCTCTCTTAATAGGCTGTAACGATTAGATAAGATCTATTCCCTTTTTTAAATAAATGGAACGTTAAGCGTTTCTAATCGTTAGATAAGTAATTTGTCTTTTAAACGTTGTTGATAAACAATAGCTTTCAAGATCAAGAAGTTGTCGAGTTCAGTCATTCTAAAATTAACTTGGCTCTTCGTAACATTTTGAAAAGAATTTTTTAAATTTTGAACTCGTTCCAGATTTCCACGCAAGCTCTAGAACTTCGTTCTTTTATTTTCGAAATTTATTTCCCATGTATTTTATTTTATTCTAATTCTATCACGTATCTTAGAAAACACGAGAATATTTCACGTCGACCAGAAAAGACTTTCCAACATTGAAATTTGGTATACCTGTTTTTCATATACATCAGATTTATTTATAAAATGCTATTGTTAACTGCTAGAGTCACAGATTTAATTTCACCGTACTTAAAAATGTCGATAAGTCAATAATTACAGTTTCGGTCTAGCTTCAGTGTCATTAAAACTAACAAAACCACAATATATTTTTCTGACCTATAAATTAATGCTTAACCAATTTTTACACTTGTGCTGACAGCTTGACGTTCTAATTTATACTTCCGGAAATTAAACGTACATCATTGATAACCCCATTATCACTGACGTCAATGTCCGTTTAAATTTCGTTTCGCTATCTTGAAATAGAAGAGCGACGCTTAAAATCTATAGTTACCAGCGTAAATAGACAACTGTTTTTATATTCAACATTAATATTTATGTAATTGCACGTTTCGTAAGATATATACATTCCAGGGATGGACGTTCGGTCGTAAAACGTACTCGTAGCCTTGTAAGAATCGTAATTCCTCTATGTCAATTAGTTTAATCATTCAATTAATCTCTATAATGGATCTCGAGTTACGGCTATAAAGCAGATTTATTGTTCTGAAAGAGAGAAAAAAGAAAGAGGAAAAACTGTTATGCGAAATAATTCAACTAACTACCGCGGAACATATTGCGTTTCAGATTTTCGTTATAACATAAAAGAGTGCGGGTTCTCGGTTTGTATCGCGAATAGGATCACGTTGAATCAACGGCTAGGGAGTTTCCATACAGAGTAACTCATGGCGCACCATTTTGTTTTCGCAGCTGGTGGCCTAATGGCGGGTTCTGTGGCTACATTGGCGATCCTCTGGGTCTCCCTGCAGACCATGGGGTTCCTCGGAAGTTCGCACACGATTGGTGCCTATAAACTGCCCATGTCATTGCAGAACTACCTAGCTAGTTATACTGGTAAGTTGTCCACTGTTTTTCCCCAATTGTTCATTGTACTTTTACTTATTTATTTATCTATTTCGGCTTTTATTGAAGAGAGTTTTGATCGTGAGTACACCCAGTTCGTTTGACGATATGTTTTGCCTTGGATCACTGTCAATTTTGACAATTTGTTATAGCTTGGAATATTTTTATTTGTTTTTCTTTGAAGGAAATAATTTTATATTACTGAAAGTGATCATTCGGAGCAAATGATTGATAGTCACCTTATTTTAGATGTAGATATTTATAAAAATTGTTATTCTTTTATTTTGTAGTTTTTGGAACACTATAAGTGTATTATAATAATTTTTTCTGAAATATAAGGAGGACGTAATATTTATTAAGGTATTTCTATACCCCAAGTAGTAATCCAAAGTAAAATATATTGTCTTTTGACAGAACCCTCGGAATAAATTAAAATACTGTAAATAAAATAAAAAAAAAGATTGATCAATACTTTTTAATGTGAACTGTCTCTTTGAAATATTATTAAGAGTTGAGAATTGTGTTTATTAATTTTTCAGCTAATGTTGAATTAAATTATTCATGAAAATGAATTTACTTCTCGAAGACTAATTTTTAGTTCAACTTAATATTTGATTTTGAAATATTTTTCATTATTATTTATGACATTTCTTTCTATATAAGACTATGAATATTCTTTTCAACGTCTACTATCAGTAACCTGTCTCAACAGTTTTAAATAATATTAATACATTTATATGTATTGCAATGATGATTCTACTCTTGAATCGTATTAAAATTCTCTTTCTCTAAATGAACACACAGTGAACATAATTGTTGCAATGAATTGGAATATTTTGCAAATCGTGTTCATGTAACAATTTGAGGTCCATTGAACCGTAATAGAAATTTATACTCAGAAGTTACATATAAACAAAATTGCTGAAATTCTTATGCTGCTCGTTATACTTGGTCCTATTTACACTATACTTTTATATCTTGACTTTTAATAATTATTCCCTATATAAAGAACACAAGAAGATATATTTACCTTACCACACTACTACATAATTTTTATGCCAATTTACTCGCAAAATTCTACAAAAGAAAAAGCAAAAAAAAAATAAAAGAATGATCAGAACCTAAATACTACCATTAACGATTACTCGAAAAATTGTAGAAAATAAAAAAAAGAAAAGGAAAAAGAAAGGAAATAGTAAATACAAGAAAAGAAAATTATACATTTCCTCCTTATGTATCTTGAAAAATACGGTCGTTGAAAAATGTTGCACGCAAATTAGAAGCTCTACCCGTCAGATCGCGATTAACCCATCTAAATGCACTGAGTCCTTTTATACCGACGTTTTTAAAGGTATCCTTTCAGGTTTGCCGATGTCGAACTACCCTTACGAGGGCGGCGTCGTAGACACGGGTCATTTCCATAAACAGCGTTTCCCTCACATTGACGAGGCGGTCTTGAACAACTCGATCACTTTCGCGCAAAGCTTGGTCGATCGTATGAGCACCCTCGAAAGGAATATCGCGAACGCTGGCGTCGAATTGATGGCTCACACGCCGGCTGGAAAGCAATTCCTTGATTCATATCCTTCCGAGGATGCTTTCGAGAGAGGCCTCGACGCCATTGTGGCGATGAAAGCTTCGTCCTATCTCCTTCATCAGAGCTGTCGCAGGTAACATATACCTCTTAGGTCTCAAGTCCTTTCGATTGACTGTACAGGATGTTTCCTTACTGGTGAAAGTCATCTTACGGATGAATTCAGCGTTTAAAAGCGATGAAAAGATTCTTGTAAATAAATGATCTGGTTTTGTGTTTGCTTGTCTGCACGCGAAGCATTCGATATTGCTGTCAGTTCGTGAGGTATGATCGATGAGATGCATACAGGTTCTACTGGTAAAGTTGCAGTCGGCCATTTTGAATGCTTCGCGCGACGCCCGATGGGTAATAGTTGATGGACAAGAAGGTTAAACTTAGTTGAACATTGTAGCCTTATTTACGTATCGTTTGAACCTCTAGGTTTGTTTTAGCAGAAGTTATTTTCGAGTCTTCATGTGAATATGTTTTTAGAAGTATAGTCAAATTGTAAGGTAGTTATCTTGTAGATTTTGTAGATTTATATGAACCTTGCTTGTTACTTTTGAACGCTGAATACCTCTTTAAAGTGGATTTCATTTGGTGAGAAGCACTGTATTTATTTTGTTGTCTGAAAAAAGGAGGAAATTGTGCAAAAGGAAGATTCTTTTGAGAAGGGGAGATTGCTTCATATTGTTTGGACACTTGGCACATCTAGTATTGATAGATTGGACTTCTAGTATTTGTACAGTAATAACTGTTTGCATTTCATTCTATTGAGTATACGGGTATTATCTGAGATGCAAAGTAAAAATAATATATTTTATGTACTGTGGTGTGAGATAGAAATAAATCCAACGTAATACTTGAAATAATTTTTCACACCAGTTACATACTCTAAGAAAATAAGTAATATCTTCCTGTTGTTGTTGTTTCCTGTGGGTGGATTATAATATCACTCGATAGTATAATTATTTTGAATGTTTAAAAAATTAATCACTTGTCTGTAAAAAACTAGTCAAGTAATACAACATCAAGTAAACAGGTGTTAAGAAAATAGATTCTTATCCACTAAAAGATCTAGATTTAGATATTTAATTATAATTCTTGTGCTAAAAACTACTAATAACATAGTAATATGATAGTAGCACATTTATATTGTTTGTTACTTGGTCTTTTGATGAAAGATTCTCATTGTCTTTGTAATTAAAATACCAATTGAATATATTTTATGTCACTGTTCTACTTGGAACATTCAGTTAATAGAAATAGCAAATGGATGTAGATATAAATATGATAAAAGCTAATAAAATTTGTATAATATCTTAAAACTATCTTCTGTACTCTCAACAGTAATTGATTTTTTATCTTTTAACAGAATTGAGAAAATTATTTAATTTGAATATTTGCAGAACTCCTTATCAACTTCCTATCTGTTTTTAATTATTGTTTTAAATTTACACACAAATGGTGATTTTCATGTATTTGACCCTTTGACTATCCAACAGGTGATCGCTTTATATGTATGAATATTTTTGTTTTTTAAGATATCTAGAACACGAGTACTTTCAACTTAGTAAAATAAATTACGTTAATTTTTAATAAAATTCTATAACATTCACTTTAAACGAAAAAAATAAGAAAATATTATTTCCAATGTAAAAGACATAAGAATAGAACTAACATATATGCAAATACACAAATTCTGAGATTTTATACTTGTAGAATTTTTTATACCTTTAGTTTAACGTAAACTATTTGGAATAAGCTTTTATATGTACTTGAATATTACATTCATGTAACAATATAAGAGTTGAAGGGTTGAATCTATCCATGTAAGAAAACTTATGATAAATGTTTCTTGTATCTTATAATGACTAAAATATCAAACATACCCATTAAATACAATCATTAAAACTCACTGCCTTTTCAACTACATCTAATTCTTGTGTAACACTACGTATATCTAAACAGTAAATATCTTTTCACTCATCTTGTAATGTAATATTACACACCGTAGCAAATGAAACTTATAAAAACTTATCACCATATACCACTATATCTTTCTAAATTCATAAAAGTACACAATTCTTGATTACAACATTACCTCTCCTCTTATAACACAAATTGACATCCTTAATAGTAATACCTCATGCATCTCATAAACCACCCAACATAACCTCTGGTATAATAGCACGTTATCATTGTCAGTAATATACAAGTCTAATGGGCAATTGTCTCCATCCTGATACCATGCATGCAACAAAATGGCGAGTAACAACCGGTGTTTGTTACAGGTTTGGCCTGGAGAAAGACGATTGCGCTCGTTACATATCAACCTTATCATTGCAAAGGACTCCGTTGAGCGCAGCTTGCTCGAAGTCGCGACTCTGCAATTCCAAGGCCAAGTACCGAAGCATCGACGGCAGTTGCAATAATGTCGAAAATCCAAACTGGGGTAGTGCGATGACCGCGTACGCCAGAATTCTCTTCCCCCACTATTTCGACGGTAAGGATTTTCCCTACCGTGTGACTATCATTATAGAGAGAAAAAGACTTGTCTTACCATATTTCACATATGTCGTCCCCGTTTAACGCGATGGAAACTCGTATCAGCCCCGTGTACGATCGCCGGTATGCTCGAATCGTTGCGTCGTTGCTCACCCGTCGGTACCTTTCGACTGATTCGCGGTATCGGTTTCAGCGCGAGATGTCGCCATCGGCGGTTGCGTTTTCTTTACCGTCTGGGCTTTCGAATACGGACGAGCGGAACGGATGTAAACGAAAGAACGGTTCGAGATATAATTTTAGCTTCTATAACCGTGGTGTCGTTATTTGTGTGGAATAATAATCGTACAATTATTTGCAGCCTCTGAACGCTTGGCGCTTCCTTGTTCTCCTCTCATCAGTCCGTCCTGCTCCTCATCTCTCTCGATAGTTTTCACTTGCTGTTGCAATTTCTTTCGTGGCAGTCTCTTCATGGGATGATCTCTTCTAGTATTTTGGTGTACGTTGGAACGGCCGACGATTCAGGGATATTTTCCATCGCGTTTTCAAATTCTAAGGGATATAATCGTTCCCTATTAAGTCAAGTGGGTGACTGTCTGTATGAATGAGATACAGTTGGCTAATTGAATAAGCTAGATATACATTGAATGTGTGCTTTCATCTGCTGTTGCTGGGTGTTTGAACGGTTACTATACACGTTCATTTAACCATTCTTATTAGCGTTGAAACTAGACTCCACTGTGTGTTTTGCCTCTAATACTAAACCTATATATGGGGTGTCCTAGAAGTATATACTCGGTTTGATAATATTATTTATAATTTGTTATCATTTTCTAATAATTATAAAACGATTTTTGCAAATTCTTAGCACCATAAGAAGAATAGATACTTAGCACACTAAGGTACTTGTAAAGAAGTCACGGGAGGTCGTGGAAGATTTCGTTTGAAACGATTTGTCAGATGAAATTCCGTAAATACGATCAGAAGTACAACCTGCACAAACACGATGTTTACTAGTAGGATTTATAAAAAAAATTACACTTAAGATAAAAGTCACTTTTTACGACTATATCTTTTATCCATACATAATCTGTGTACGCAACAAAAAAGAGACACGCATTCAAAACACCTTTTAAAGTATCACATTTAGATAAGGATTCTCTTATGCATATAAAGTGTCTTATTTCAGTCGATTCTCGTAAATACCTTTAGAATTCTTGATAACGTTCATAAATATTTCTGATAGAAGTTGAGTAGCTTAGAGGTGAACATATGATGAGTTTCTTGCACGTTAACATACAGACTATCTCGAACACCTTGAAACGGAAGATTATTCAAACATGTCAACAAGTATTTAAAAAATTTGTAGAAATAGACACGTCGTTCAGATATGATATAAATATCAGTATTCAGACTGAAGGTAACCTTGAGTATGAATCTTGAGAATGCAAATAATCATCGGTACTATCTGATACTATTAGAATTAAAATATTTTCCAAAATAATAGCCTTATGTCGTGGATAATGACGCATTTTTCTAACCTTCAAAATAACATGTTTTATTGAAAACAAAAGAAGAGGAACAATAAACTTGACTTTCATACGTCCTTCAGACAGCCATTTCCAAAAGTATTCCTGATGGAAAATTGTATCTTTCTCATGACAATTCAGCTGTTATCTCTGACATCAGTAGGCATGATCAAAGGTCTTACGGATACTTGTAAAGATTGATTGAAATAAGGCACTCTGCATGCGTAGTTTGTTTTGTTGGGAAAAGAGAGGCCAAGACCCGAGATTAAAGCCTGACTTCAGATTCCTGGAACGTATTTGACGAAGCCTGAACACGTGTGTGCGAACTTATGTACAAGTTTCCACCTCCTACGAATCTGCACTCTTGTCATGTTTCTTACGTCATTGAATATTTCATTAAACATAACAAACTTGGAGTATAGTAAATCTATGATGTATCACGATTTTATTCAACGTGTTACGATTTTCCTGACTTTCCATTACTTTGAGCTATAAATAGAGATGCTCTCATGATACCATCCTTCTACTACTATAGTTATTACACAAAGAACACTATCTCACGTTTAGTATTACATTTTAGCAATATTAATAGTGTCTACTGTATTGCTCTACTGTACTATATCAGTATACCTTATTAATTATTGATTAGCAGTACTGTAATATTTCCTACTGTACTTTGTTTTCAGCGAATAAGCATCTGCATCGCTTTTGAACAATTAAGAATTCCACTGTAATAATAGTATGACAAGTTTTCAAGGAAATGCAAGTATTGTGTAGATCTACAGTGGAGGTGTAAAGTGCCTTGGAAAAAGAGTGTCTTGCACAATGCACATTATTTTACATGAAACCTTCGCTGCCATGCATTGGTCTGCAATAATAATTCAAGGACATTTTCCGTTCATTCTTGTACCAAGCAGTTTCAATTCATTTTTAATTTTTATCTTCATAACGACTTGAAACTTCAGTTTCTTTCGGTCTTCCACTCTCGTAACGCAATACAATAGACGTTAAAAAGATTCGAATACAATTTTCAAAGTTTAGGAAACACAATGGCACACAAAATTCGGTCGCTTTATTATCTCGCAGAATATTTTAGAATTTTTACCAAATTTCAAGACAAAAGATGAAATGTGCGCGGTTTTTACACCTGCCTGAATTCCAACAGTGTAAAAATGATTTATAAACACGCTGAACACGCGATTTATGATCTTTCAACGGAGCTGAGAAAAAGACTAATATCCTTGCTCGTGACTTGCATTCATCTATTAAGCTTATATAAATAACTCTAGGACACTCCGTATGTTACTCGTCTTGCATAATCCTCACGATGTCTCCAAAATGTCGACACTTTCGACTGAACTTCAGTTCAATGGTACAACTATCGAATGTTGTTCTCCTCTTCACACATTGCATAACTCGTTTTTAGACGAAAGGTTTGACCCAGCAGGAACACACCAAGGTGAAGGGTATCAGGCACACCGCCGATTGCTCCTCGCATTCACACGATTCTTCGTTTCGTACTCGTCGGCCATTAATGTTCATCAAGAAGTTGACAAATTTCGACGTACGATCGAGAACAACTCGAGATCGTTACTACTGTGGTAATTGCACGCGAGTTACCAGCCTCGACCTACTAACCCACCTATTCCTCACAACGACACCTTGGATAAAGCATACGATTACACACGACGAAACACGAGAATCATATACACGCACGCACGTTTACCACACATAGACAGACATAAAGCAAAGCCAAAAAAAAAAGAAGATTAATAAATTAAATCTCTTATCTGTGTATACTATACGTATATATGAAAACGAACACACTCTCTGATCCCTGGGCGCTAATGGATGAAACAAACGACCAAAAAACGATCGTCGATTGGCTTAACAAATTATATTCTGTGATTTGCATTACAGTTGTTGTGCGATAAGGCACATAGAGCATAAAATGCCTGAGTGTAGCAGTGAATAATACTGCCTACAATAGGGTGCCCCGGTCGGGAGATTCTATCCAGCAGTAGAATGTGTATGTAAACTAATTCGGATATACCTAATAATGTATCATATTTATTATCGTAACAGTAGTTCAAATATTTGTCTGTTGATTGCGGTATACGGGTCTCGTTAAAGGTGCCCGAGACAAGCGAATGAGATTTGGGAGAGTCATTCGGGCTTCTAGCAGCTTTACCACTCCGATTAGTCTAATCGAAGATAATTCCTCTCTATCCAAGTTTGTATTTGACACGTTAAGTGCCCAGCCCGCTTTGCTCGCCGTTCCGTTCAGACCTAGACTCGGCCGTCGAGTGGGCCGCGAAGTGTTCATACAGCTAGGAAATAGTGTACCAATTGTTATAACAGAAATTATTAGGTCCAAACATTAGGTCCAAAGATGGCGAAGAGTTTAACACCAAAAGTTAGTACATTTTGGTCCTAGTTTGGGCCTGAACGGAAAGTCTAGCGTCGGTGCTTGGGCACCGGCGATAGCCAATACAGATAGCCATAGCACAGAAACGAAGAATAATGCGAAGACAATTATCTCCTAATTCGATTCTCTTACTTGGGCACCTTCATCAGCCACCTAGATAAGTCACTTGATTCCTTCTGCGAGCGTTCTCGACGTGATCGTTTTCGCGATAACTGGTCAATTCTGAGTTAAAGAGTCGCTTAGTTAGTCGTGTCAGAGTATCGTAATGAGAACCGTCTGTTTTTTTTTTCTCTCTCACAAAGAAGTCCGTTTTTAGCGCGCCTGTTTCGTCGACAACGCATCAGAACGTCATATCGAAAAAAAAAATTTTTTAAGTAGAAGACAAGTATTCTATATCGTTGCTCTGCAGCGCGAGAGCCATCGTTCGATCCAGGGATCAGTCAGCGTCGGGACGGCGATAATAATTGATAAAAGGATGATCCCAGGTCGAAGGCTCGCGTTCGGGTATGCCAGTCGTCATTGAATGCTAGGTGATAAACTTGGTGTTACCTATTGATTGGTCTCTGACGAACTGGTCGCGAGAGTCGAGGCAGGTTCATAGGCGCAGTTAGGCCCGGTACGCAGGGATTCGGAATGTTGCTCGCTCTCGCGCTGCACGAACATTGTTTTACATGTACACGCGGAGATCACACGTAAGATCCTCGTCGAAATCGGAGTAATCGGTGTTCTCGTGCAAATTCCTCGTTGTTACGTTCGTTGTTCGTTGTTCGAGGCTATTCCTACGGGTTACGAGCTAGTCTATACGCTGTCAATGCACGTGGTAGATTCACACGATTTGAAATACGATTTTCGCGAAACTTAGATTGGTATTACTCCGGTTTGACGACACCTGGTGAGGTGAAGCATGAGATTAATGCCTGTTTTGGCGACCAGGAATTCAAGAGCCGAGGCGCATGGGGCAAACGAAAAAGCCACTGCCAGGTGCCAGGAGCGTGAGCGTGGCTCTCTCAACGCCTAATGATCAGTCGGATGTCAGCAGGACGTTGACGGTTATGCAGTGGGCTCAGTTCATTGCACATGACATCTCTTATACGCCAATGCGCAAGATGGGTAAGCATGCGAGTGATTTATAGCGGATAAAGAAATTTTCATTTAGGTACCTGACCTTTTGTCGACGAGTGCTTGCAGATAGGTACTGGTGTATAGTCTGTCCAACTAGATGAGGCAGAGAAAATGAACAGGAAGTTCACATGGTTGATGCTGTGTCTACAGTTAAGAAGGGGTCTTCTAGTATCTTGCTTGATTTTTCCGATGTCTTTGAAAATTCGTTGCAAGGAACCATTAAGACTTTATGCTTTGAAATTAATAGGATTTGTTTGTACAACCTTGGACCATGTGTGTAGTATTTTTTGTTAAGAATGATTGAAAATTGTCGGTGTTTCGAATTATTGTCTGAAGGGCTTCTTAAAAATCCGGTATCGAGGGTGTCCGTAATTCAGGCTCTTCTTATTATCTGAAATAAAGAAACTCAACAGGATTCCTGTTAAGTATGAGTACAACTATGATTGGTCCTAAGAAAAAAACAAAAAATATCAGTAAATAAAAAAATGGCGGCACACTGAATGTATCTTATCGAGTTTTTCACTTTCATTTTAAATATATGAATATGAAAAGGATAAAAGGAACACGAATTTTTTAATAATTTTAGTAGGGGTTATAGCTACAGGTATACTAAATATTTGTGAAAAATTTCGTACTAATTTGTAAAACAGTTTTTGAGAAATCATGGACACCGTTTTGGAAAACACATTTTCCTTTAAGTTCCACGTTTCTATAATAATCAAGTGGTCCGCCATTTTATTAAAACAGCTATAACTCCGTTATTTGTAACAATTCGAGCCTAATATTTACGGAAAGTATTCTTGAAAACATGTACTCTAAGAAAAAAGAAGAAGAAAATATCGATTTTCTGACCTTCGATAGTAGAAGACTCCCTCAAGTTGTCATCGTTCAGGAACGAATTTGTAACAATTATAATAATCCTTTACAGAGGACCCTTATAAGCAAACAGCTTCTTATATCCTTCTAAAAATTACGTGTCAGCCTTATCTTGCTCACCTGTCGACCACGTGCAATTGCCTTGTCTTCTGTCTCCTATCGTTGGACAAAATATAAATCAGAGAGCTTAAAAGCAAGTTAAGCTTCAAAACAACTTACCTGTGAATGAAATTCCATAAAGAAGCTTTGGTTCCTCCAGAGTGTATTCTTGTACAGCCATAGTCAAATTCATTATCATTATTATGTTCATCATTATTCAGTATTCATTATTTAGTATTCATCATTATGTTTAATGATAAAGTCAGGTGCATTTATGAATATTGGAAGGAAAATCCTGTAACATATTGTTGAAAAGATAAGTTTAGCTGTAGACAAAAATCAATCTAGGATATAAGATGCAAATAAATAGTTCATAAGATATAAGTTTCTAAAGGGAATATTTTATGTAATAGTTCTATGGGAATTGGGGGCTTGGGTGAACCATGTGTACCCTCTTGACACTTACTTGGCAGTCGGGTACAGTTGCAGATGTGTCTTAGAATTAGAGGGGTTGGTTAGTCTCTCAGGGGAAGCATTAGAAGAAACATATACCTTCCTTGTGAAATAAAAGATACATATCGTAGTTATTTTACTATTAGAACCCATAATTTCAATATATGTTTTACGTTTCATTTAACTTGAAAATAATATTAAATTTATACTTGAAAATAATTGCTGTCAATTGTTTATCACCGTAATTAACTCCTATGGTTGATTGCCATTTGCAGTGTCGTCAGGAAAACCAATCTCGTGTTGTCGATCAGACGGAACCGCCTTGTCTCCTCGATACGTGCATCCCGATTGTTCTGCAATCACCGTACCTGACCGGGATCCTGTTTACGGCCAGCATTATGTACGCTGCATGAATTACGTGCGATCGTTGCCGGTTCTAAAATCAGAATGTACTTTTGGACCCGTGGAACAGGTTAGTCAACTTTCACGTTATAGGTTAGATATAAATTTTTATTCCTTTGCAAGTTTATTCGATTCATTTACCGATTTTCCTGTTTTTTTTAATTTTAATCATTATCTTCTACGTTTTTGATTGCAAAACATTTTAAGCGTACGTTTTTATCGTTACGATTATTGCTGTTAATAATATACGTGTTCTAAATATTTTCTTAATTAGCATATGTGATAAAATTTTTTAATATTCCAAGGTTAAAAGCCATTATTGATTTTATGGCTAGTTGATAATTTGCTGTTTGAGAAGTACTTAAGTGACTCGTGATAAATAATTGATATAGATAATTTAAATTATTTAATAAATATATTAGTATAATTTAAATTAATATAGATAATATTATTAGTATTAGGAAGAGTATTATAATATTATAAATGTTATAATAAGAATAAGGAAGGATTAATTGAAATTTTTCTTGTTACAGATGAATCAAGTGAGCCATTTCTTGGATGGTTCAGCGATCTATGGTTCCACGTTGAAGCAATCTCGCGAACTCCGTGAGTTCGAAGGTGGTCGATTACGAGTTCACATAGAGAAGAATCATGAGTATTTACCAGTTGGAGGTGTCGAAATCTCATCTGAATGCACGGAGAGCTGTTATAATTCTGGTAATTATTCATATTTTTGCAATAAAAATGAAAAAATGAACTATAAATTTCTTATATCGTCGAAGTTAATGCCATACAAGTATTATTAATCATACTTTTTCATTGTAGGCGATCATCGTGTAAATATACATCCACAATTGGCTGTGATGCACACAATCTGGCATCGTGAACACAATAAAATTGCTAATAAGCTAGCTAAGCTGAATCCTCATTGGTCAGACGAGATGCTGTACCAGGAAGCTAGGCGCATAGTGATTGCTGAAATTCAACATATCACGTACAAAGAGTGGCTACCTATATTACTAGGCAAGAGGTACACTCGAGCTGTTGGTCTCACCGTTGGGAATAGTTATAATCGTATCTATAATTCTGAGGATGACCCAGCAGTTAGCAACGAGGTTGCAACAGCAGCTTTGCGCTTCTTGACTTCCTTGATGCAAGGAAAGCTAAGGTGAGATAATCATAAATTGAATCAAAGCACAGCCTAATTTTTGTGCCTTTCCTTAAAATGAGGTATATTCTCCCTTTGAGAGATATAAATGTTTTATTATTTATCCTATTTATTTCTATTGTACTTTTTACTCTACTGCCTGTCATTATAGCTTTTTGTTAATTTAGATAATACAGTAGAAATTATTTTTTCAATTAATACTACGTTTGTTTGTGTACTTACAATAATAAAATTTGCATATTATTTGTCAAATTATGTAACGATTACGTTTATCAGGTAGATATTCAGATAGAGATAGAGGAAGAGAGAAACAGTTATATGGAGTCATATCAGTGAGGAATTACTTCAGTGTGAAAGATAAAAAGCATATTATGTACTTAACACGGTTGTATTTCATTAAGTTCAAGGATTAGTGAACCTATCCAAGTTATGAAGTATAATTTTAAGAAAAATACAGCCTAGTGGATATTAATATGGATAATATATAATTGAATAGTACAAAATGATTAGTATTTAGTGTATTTCAATAGATTTTAAGTTCTAGTAAATTTATAAGATCTTAAAACTCAAAACATTAACTAGTCCTATTTTTCTTGTTACAGCTTAACAGACAACACACGACAGATCAACAGCACAATTTCATTGACAAAATATTTCTTCAAACCAAGTATTATCGAGTCGGATAAAGTTTTTGACGGTTTACTGCGTGGTATGGCCACTCAAACCAGTCAGAAAATGGATATTAACATAATCGAAGATGTAAGTACTTATCCAGTTTTATTTCTTAATTTTACATAACCTCAATTCTGAAGACCTGTTTAAAATCATTCAAGTCTTATATGTACATTTATAATTCAATATGATTATATTTATAACCACTGCAAAGTAAACAAATTGAGATAAATAACGTGCTTTGTTAAATGAAAGATAAAAATAAAAATAGAAGATGAAATTCAAAAATGTTGAAATACAATTCAAATTATATAAATCAATTGTGCACAATTTACTATATCCATTTGTATATTTTTGAAAAGGAATATATTATTAACAGGCCTAACTGAAAATATAAAACCAGCAAAATTAAATATAAATTATTCGTGTTTTACAGGTAACAAGCAAACTGTTTGCAGCAGACCAAGATAGCCTAGGTTTAGATGCTATTAGCTTGGATATCCAGCGAGGACGCGATCACGGTTTACCTGGCTACAATCACTATCGCAAATACTGCGGTCTTCCACCTGCGAAGAACTTCGATGATTTCTTAGATCATATTCCAATGGAGGTAAATAAAATTTCACGAGTTAGCAAAACTATTCGTTGCAAAAAGGTGCTTCAAATTTATTCGCAAAGAAGAAGAAACTTTAATACCATAATTACTATCTGCTGTGTTAACAGATGATAAAGAAATTGCGCGCAACCTACGCTCATCCTGATGACGTTGATCTCATTATTGGCGGTATGGCTGAAAGGCCAGTAGATGACGGGTTACTGGGCCCTACCTTCCGTTGCTTGATTTCCGAACAATTCGCAAGAACTTATCGCACAGACAGATATTTCTATGACTCTGTGTATCAGCCGCATCCCTTCACACCAAGTAAGACCTAATCAATCAATCCACCAAACATTGCAAATTTTCCTGCAAGTAGCGAATGAATTTAATTTTTGTATTACAGAACAACTAGCAGAAATACGCAATGTAACATTAGCAAGAGTGTTCTGCAACAATGGCAATAACATCACACACATGCAACCAAACGTATTCCTCAGACCACAAGCAGGGTAAGTTGATACTTTATCTCACCGTTCTCATGAATTCATCATCCATATGTAGAGTCACACAGTCTCTACTATGCTGGAGAGTACTCTGTCTGTAATTTTCCAATTCTTGAGAACAACTAAACTATTATTAACTCTTAGTAAACTCGCTCTTAAAACACTTTTACGACAAACTCCCAACTGTCTCTATCTTCCAGAACAGGCCCTTTTAACCCTTTCGCGATGGCGCCACTGACCATACTTCGCCACCATTTTGTGTTTTGCCTAATGCCTGTACTAGCTTTATTTTGAGTTCACTTTTGAAATTAATATATACATTACTAATACATATTACATATATATATATATATTAGTAATTATTAACACTAGATTTATGGGACCCGTCAATTTGACGGAAGAGTTGCTCCAATTATACGATGATAACAAACTTATATTAAGACTGTTAATATAATATATAATTGTTTCTTCAAAAAAAAAGGCACGTGGTTTCCTTTACCTGTCAATTTGACAGGTGTCCTTAGAAATAGGTATACAGATAGCGTCCGTAAACCTAGTATTAATACATATTAATAATACATTAATATATGATTTGCCGTATGTAGACGGCATCAGCCACTGTGAAACAATAAATGACTGTCGTATATATACGGCACCTGTCGCGAAAGGGTTAAACCCGTCTGAAAGGCAAGGGCCTCCCCCGAAGGAGGAGAAAGCTGTCTCCACGCCAAGCTTCAGGGGTGGAAGAGACTCCTCCTTCCGGGGGTTAGGCTCTCCGAAGGGTCACCCTCTCGGGGACCCTTCCTGAGAGGTGACGCGGATGCTTCACCCTCGGTTTACGACGGGGAAAGCTAGGGTTGTGCGAGGCCTGCGTTGTCACGTGACCTGGCCCCGATCTTCTACGACCCATCCCCCGACCGTCAGACCCTAACGAGTCCTTTAACCCTTTCGGTACGGAGGAGCTGGCCGCGGTTATACATTCGTGGTACGAGGAAGTTTTGCATAAGAGTGGTGGCACTGGAAGCCACGAAAACGTGTTTTGCGGTATTCGTAGAAATTTCGAGCGTGATTGACACTAAACTTTTCATTCGGACCGCGACAATCATCGGTGACGTTTCGTGGATGCCGCCAATAGGCGACGGTAGTACCTAGAGAACGTTCCGTAGATGTCGCCACTAGGCGACGGTAGTACCCAGAGAATGTTTCATGGCCGCCGCCATTGGGCGACAGTAATACCGAAAGGGTTAAACCTGTCGAAGTGTTCCCTTCGACCATGGTACACTAATAATGTCTAACAATATCCTTACATGTATATATTATTTTTGCCTATATCATATTGCCTATATCTAAAAAGCTAAACATTTCTTACACTTTTCATCAGGAACGAACTGAGGTCCTGTACGATGTTCGAAGCGATCCCCAGCGTGGACTTATTCGCCTGGGCAGAGAGGGCCAAGGCCTATCGTTGAACATCCTTGTTAATTGGCTGGTCACATTGCCGCATCGGTTTGCCCGGGTCGCAGGACGGGCAAGATATAGAGGCCACGAGACGACGATAAAATAGCGTAATCGCGGGAGAATATCGGCGATTGACTGAAAAGCCGCACTCAATCCTGACGCAGTATATCACCAACACGCTCGAGATATAAGAAAATGAGACAGAACTTTTGCCGAAGGGAGCCGCGTGTACGAATGCGATCGTATGGCGAACAACGGGCACGATGAAGGGAAATCGAACAATCCAGTAGTATGCACGCTACGTAAAAATTGAACAAGGAAACAGACAATAACGTAATAAAACAAGGTGCATCATCAATACACGTGACTAGTCGATTAAATGAGCACACTTTGGGGCTGTGCTACGACACGTGGTGTCGACCGAGACAGGAGAGAAACGGAAGAACGAGTGAATGTTGTTTCGTAAAAGGAAGATGGCTTCCGAGAAACGTTTAGGTCCTATGGAAGACTTTTTAGCGTAATTTAGGAATAACGTGAAGCAGACTTATCATTTCTTTTCTTTTTTGTTCTTTTTGGTATGAGAATACACGCGTGTAAGAAGTTAGAAGCAGTAAATACGCTAATCTATTTAATCCTACGCTTAGAGTATGTTTGTTTCTTATCTGTGGGCATTCATTAGATCATGCTGCTCTATGAGATCACGTGGATTTTTATTTGTTACTTTAATATACTTTTTAATCGGAAGTTGAAACAGTGGAGAATTTATTATTTTAATTTCGCTTTTCATACGTTCTCATAATTAAACGGTCATAAATGGAGTTTATTTTTGTAAATACGAGCTACATGATATTTTGGATACTCTATAAGATAAGGATATTTGCTGAACGTCAATCCATCGAGGTTTAATGTGTATATTTTTCATCTTAAACATAATTCAATTACAAGTGTGTATGCTTCATCGTATCAGATCTACAGTTTGATTGACAAACTCTTCTTTAAGTTAATTGTATTCATTTGTTGTATAAAAGTAAAGTGTTATTATGATAGAACTAAATTAGAGAAAAAATACAACATAAGACTACGATGGATAGATGTAAGTAGATTCGAAAGAATCATATGTAGAATGACTCGAATTTATTAATGCAAAACATACCAATAATTTGAAATTAAGTGAAGCAATGTCACTCGAGCATGTAGGAAGAAAGAGAGCAAAGTGGTAAACGAGGCGGTGAGAGTGAATTAGAGAGAAAACAAATTACATGTTGAGAAAGTGAGAATTCAAACGAGCAATAAGTTTTGAGAGCATAATAGAATATTGGTAACACGTGAATATAATGTTCTTTGTATGATATGTATTGGATGATTCAAAGATTTTAACTCGTTTGTAATATGATTAAATTTTGTGATCGAATGAACGAGAAATTAAATTAAGAAGAATTTCAATTAAATTAAATTAGGAGAATTTAGATTAAATTGACGTAGAGTTGAAGAGTTGAAATTGAGATTCTCGGTTTATAAACCGATACATTGATATTGTTGAACATCGATTGTTACAAAGGAAGATTATATACACATATGTTCTGAATATTCTCAACGACTAGCTGCCATTTAAGAACACACGTGTTTATCGAATTCAGAATTTTTTTCATAATCATTCTTGCTATCATCCAAAATGATCGTTAATGAAACTCTGCTCAGCGTTTAAGTTGATTTGCATGACTGTAACGACTGAACTTTTAGGAATATATATGGAGTATGACTGATTAGTTTTTAAAAAAAGAGTTATATTATTGTACGTTTCGTACATGATTAGGGTTACTTGTACTTACGGCATTCAATACGATCCAAATTTTGATCAAAAGTAATCAAGAATGAGATTTTGTTAGATTTATTTATTGCGAATTTAGAAAATAAAGATCTTATCAAGAATCTTGACCTTTGTTAATTTTTTATTATTTAATATTTCCCTTTGTGTCTCTTTTTATTCGTTTTAATTTTAATCCTGTCGTTCAATTTATTTGCTAGCATATTTTATTTAATTAATAATATTTAATTTCTCTTTATTCTATGAATGTATGAAACAATTAATTCCCTTAATTAAATTTTAATATAAATATTAATTATTGATCTTTGTCTATTTTCTTATTTTAATAATTTTCTTGTATCGTTTTTCATATTCTTTAAATAATTTGATAGTAAATTTGATAATTTCATTTTTATTAAAAGAGTTACTTCAATGGAAAAGAATAACTTTACGAGTTTACTCAGATATCTTCAGTCTGTATTTTATTATAAGCAAAAGTAAATATAAAACAATTAATTACCCTGTTCTGATGTATTAAATTAAATTTTAAATCATGAAAACGAATAAAACAGAATTTACGATATTTGTTGAACAGCACTAAATAATTACCAATGGTATAGAAAATTGGAACCATTGCTATTGTCAAAATGATCGACATTAGGTTTCGACCTTTATAGTTACACAATTACCAAAGCTATTCTGAATGTTCACAGTCGACTCTTTTATGTTAATTGAACACACCTGAATGAGAAATAACCATTCCATTATTAGTCACACGGTTACGTAAATGTTTATTGTTCACATAATCCTTGCACTTTATCTCAACTTTCTCTCAGAAATCGTATTGTCTTTTTTGGTAATCCATTTTTTGGAAATCCTTGCTCCAGTTTTAAGAATCTTAAATAATAGTAATTGTTCTTGGATGAAAGTATTTCATAAGAAGGAAAATTATTTGTTATATATATATATTAACAATTACACGAGTATTGCAGTAATTTTAAGGAAAAGGGAATATTTTATTCCAATAGAATTAAAGTATTCTTAATTACTACAAAATATATAATTGAAAAATTATTCGACTTATTGTTCTATTGGAATGGAAGTAGAATACAAATTATTGTATTAAATTATTGTATTATGTTAAAGAATAATGTAAGAGCAACTATACATCTCTAATAATTAGCATATTTAATTATTAATTAATAGAGACACTTAGCACTTAACACTTGACAAGTATTAAGTAACAGAAACACTTGACACTTGACAAGTATTAATTAATAGAAACACTTGATATTTGACAAATATTAATTAATAGAAACACTTGACATTTGACAAGTATTAATTAATAGAAACACTTGACATTTGACAAGTATTAATGAATAGAAACACTTGGCAACTGACAAGTGTTATTAATAGAAACACTTGACAATTGACAAGTATTATTAATAGAAACACTTGACATTTGATAAGTATTAATGAATAGAAACACTTGGATATTGACAAGTATTATTAATAGAAACATTTGACAATTGACAATTGACAAGTATTATTAATAGAAACAATTGACAATTGACAAATATTATTAATAGAAACACATGACATTTAACAAGTATTATTAATAGAAACATTTGACAATTGACAATTGACAAGTATCATTAATAGAAACACTTGACAATTGACAAATATTATTAATAGAAATACTTGACAATTAACAAATATTCTTAATAGAAACACTTGACATTTAACAAGTATTATTAATAGAAACACTTGACATTTGACAAGTATTATTAATAGAAACACTTGACAATTGACAAGTATTATTAATGTAAAGCTTGTCAAGTGAATAAGAAAACTTTAAGATTCGAATTAAACAACAAATAGAAACTCCGTTTTAAATATTCAACAATAATAATCGTGGTAAGTAACGAAATGACCTAATTGTAAGTAAAAAATCAGAAAGAAATGATTATTTCACTAATTTCGCGTTGCATTCATTCATACTGCGACAAAATAAAGTAATTTTTCGCAAAATGGCAGAAAATTAAATCGCAAGATCGAGTTCGCAACTTCGTCGTAACTAATTTTTTAATTTCCGAAATATCTGAAACGCGGAACTTTTGATGTTTCGAAACGAAACATATATGAATTATGTCGCTTTCGTAATCATCGGCGTACAATTTTGGGATAAAAAGTTGGCATTAAAGTGCCTATTTTAGTAAACGGGTACCATTGAACCGTGGTTGCGCAGCTTTCACAAACTGATCGACCACGAAACCCTCGAGCGTATTTCGCTGTTTTCAAATTTGCTGTCAAAATTTTGCTGGTGGAAAACTGATGTCATTACCACGATCACTCAACGATTGCATGCAATCGTATCATTACGCTTCTTTCCTAGACTTTCTCTCACCGCGAACTGTCACTCCGTTCCTTTCGATCACCATCGATTGCTCAACACATTTCTTTTTGCAGCAAAATGAACTTCCGGTACCCATCGGCACCATGATAATAAAAGTTTCAAAACATTGCAATAAAAATTAGCAACTTGTAAATGATTTACAATTAATCCGAAACGAATCTTAATCTATAAAAAATAGGAAATTTGATAGAATTTATCGGGATAATTAAAATTAAAAATAGTATTTTATATAAGAATTTATTAAAAAGAAGAGATATTTCTTTTCAGTGATATTCCTGGGAATAAGCGATGAGAAAATTTCACAACGAAATCTGAAATATCTTGAATTAAGTGATATATTTTTATTCCAGTTAGGGAATTGACATTTCGGATTAAAAAAATATTTTTACTAAAAAATTGAGAAAAATTAAGTTCATGCGAAATAACAGATGTTTTAAAAATATTTTTTCAGGTTGTATCGGAATTTCTGTGTCCAAACACTCAATTTATCTATGGTAATTATTTTCTCATTTATACGCCGTTTAAACATTTCCACGTTGAAGCTGATATGTGCACTTAATGGCAGATTCAGTTTTTAATAAACGACGATGAAGATACAATTTAACAGATAACAATTTAATATACATTATTAACTTATTTCAATATCTATTATATTTCTCGTATTTTTATTTTTATTCTCATTTATTTATTACTTTACTTTACTTATTTACTTATTTTTATTTTTATTCTCATTTATTTATTATTTTACTTTACTTATTTACTTATTTTTATTTCTTCTTTCATTATTAATATACAATACAGTCGTGATTTTTATAAATTTATTATCGTCATAATTAATAAATTAATTACTTCATTATTATTGATCTGCACGACACGAGATTCTCACGATTTCAATTCCTTATTCAGGTAGGTAAAAGAAACCAAGTTTCATCTATTTTTATGGATACGATATTACCGTGTAATAGTAAAATCGCCGCCATAATAGTAAAGCTGTCGCCCTCTGGCGAGCCACGCTGCGTATAATAGCTAGAAAAATACCCATTGTTATAATCTCGTGTTCTATATCTCGTACTTCAAACAAAGCTACAATAAAGAACCCTTTTTATGCAATATCTCCTTATAATTCCCGGATAATACAAAATGAAAAAGCCATTTTATTTACGGCTAAAACAGTCGTTTAACACTAGATTTACAAAACCCGTCAATTT